GTATGCTCGAGTCCCAGACTACATCATATTCAGAAGACAACGCCTCACTGCTACTGGGTCGCGCTCCATGAATTTCGTGACGTCCGCGTTCTAAAGTCCCTTGTCAGGTCTTATCAGTAGTCATCAGATCTTATCATCACTATCTTTTCCATACCAAATATGTTCCCGTCCCTCCCTAATATTATATCCTGAAATCAACTTCAGGCGACTGCTACGCGCGCTACGAATTTCGTGACAAACACACATAGACCTACACACACAGACATACTAAGCGAATTATATGTATATAGTAGGATGGTTGCAATTGGTGGTGCGATTCAGATTTGCTCTTATTAAGAATTTCATTTTCTATACTGTAGGAAAGCCATCATTCCTGTGTGTTGGTAAGCAGAAAATCTTCTATGACATTAGCTTTAAAAAATGTTGCATTCTAGATGAAAAGACTGATAAGAAGGACACGAAGGAGCGTGACAGCCGGACAAGCAGTCGAGCTTGGGAAGCAAGCCAGCAAAAGGAGGTGCAACTATCGAAGGACGTATAATTTGTACTACTGTCGATAAATGGAGAATTTTCTGTTTATCGTTAAAAAATTATTTAAATTTGTATCAAGTCGTTTAGCTACCCAAGTTGAGGCTTTCATGCGTGCAACAAAATCTGTATTTATCAATCACGTGGCAGAAGTACGGTGCGAGGTTTGGCGGTAGCAGTGCAAGTCAAAATTCGAGCTGCTAGTTGCTTTCTCGGATGAAGTCGACTTGGAGACGTAGTAGTAGCACCGTGAATAAACACTGCATTACATATGCAAGCGCCTCAAAACCGATACAGAGGACGGATAACATCGTTCGTGTCTTATAGTGCGCTTGCGACCGTGCCCAGCGCTAACATGAGTTACGACATACCATTCCATGTTTCTTGACATATAAGATTGTGTCTCTATGCGAGCGTATCTAACGGTAACCAACCTTTGATCGAAGTTGATTTTTATGAGAAAGGACCGATATGTTACGATCTGGATCCAGGAAAGGGGAAAGGCACAAATCGATGCTTTGGGTTTAACAACCCAAAGACCCGATCTGTTCGCGTTCTCATGGAAACAGTTGGAATGAAGGCTGCTTTGGTTAGGGTTGACAATCAATCAAAGAATGCACATCGTTTTATCCCCCACTACACACCTGATATCGAAGCACTTATGTGACGATTATCACTTGCACAAAGCACAAAACTCAATTCAGCGTCTCTTCTCTTAGCCATACATGGTCGTTGGTAGCAAAACATCAACTTACTATGTTGCTAATATGATGACACCGGATAGGCAAAGCAGAAAAAGGACTGCAGGTAGAGCAAGTATCAATAGGAGAGCGAATTTCAAGACGGAAGAGTACTCCTGTGAAAAAAAAATGCTTTGAATGTGTGAGCCAAGAAAAATAGTGCAACTTCTAAACTATCATTTTACTTTATGCTCATGGTTTGCACTATTGCTAGGAGTGAAAAACGGCAAAGTAGTTCCTGGGATATCTTCCGCTCTTCACTTGAGAGGTCATCAGAGCTGCATGATCATTAAGGCCTAAGGTTAAGCTCGGGTTTAGCCTTGGGCTAAGGCTTGTGCTTACACATTGGCTAATGCTCATGATTTGCCCTAGGCTTAGTCCTGAGTTTGCTTCGAGCAAATGAGTGGGTTCTCAGTTTTAGGTGACCTGACCAGAGGACGAGAACTGCAATGCACTCGGAATTCCTCCGTTCTGTGGGAGATTAGTGTCGAGAAAGAATGGACGCGCGGAAAGCACACACGGCTCTCGCATGGCGAGTGTGGATGTTCGCGCGGGTGATGAAACTAATCAGGCAAAAATCCTCGACGTGGCGTTGAGCAATCCTCGACCGATATTCACCCCGATTGCTACCTATGAATGTCGGAGTGTAACCCTTTCTGACGGAATTCATGGGCACAAGAATGAGAAGATCAGGAAATAAGTCACTTCTCCGCAATGAACACTAATTCTGGGTGACATTATCTATTTATCAATGTGTTGATAACCTCCTCTAACATGTACATAAAAGGGAAAGTTGCTAGGTCGGTCCGGCTATTTGCGTATGTCTTTGCACCCATCTCAAGACTCTGAAATCTCCACAACTTTCGTTCATATCTTAGGAACGATTCATTGCAAGCATTCATAAGGGAAGCGCGCTGGTAGTGCCCCGGCTTGGTCTGTGCACAATTTGTCCATGACTGTCCGAAGAGCCTGTGTGACGTTTCAGGCTTTTCCTTGAGAAACAGATGTGATAACCATGTTCAGAAGATCAAACTACCTCTGAGAACCACATTCTAGCGAAGATTTCAAGCAAACTTTGGGAGAGTGGTTGAGTTACTCGATACCACGTCATCAACCCATTATTGAACTAGAGGTCTGTGAGGATCACTCTGATCCTACTAAGAGAACTATTATCGCTCACGTTGCCGCGTCGTACATACAAATATTACAAAGCTTTGTATCTGAGTACGAAGGCGGTGCTATCGCCATCTCATTTCTGATTTGTACGTCCGTAACCTCAACGCTAAGATTGACCCAAGAAGAACGGCTGAAGAACTTTACATAGGTACTCACTGAAATTATTGGAATGAGCAGGGCGAGAGACAGTATGAGTTTATCATGTCGACCAACACCATCCATGGTAACTCGTAGTTTCAATAGGTCTCCCACCTTTGTTGGAGTTAGGAATCGCCTGATGACCAGTTTTATAACGAGATGGACCACAACATCTTCAACCAAGGGTTTCGCCTGACCGACGTCGTTGTTACAAAGCTCTATACGGGAACGGACCGTCGTCTCCTCCGTGCAAGATTTCACTTCTCGATGCGTGTTGAGAGAGAAGCAAAAATTAGGAAGGACAGTCACCTCCTGGAACCACTTCACTACTAGCCAACTCGTCAGGGGAAACATCGACGAGTGATACCATCGACTCGTTGAATACCTTAACGATAGCGGAAATGGCAGAGAGATTGGATGTCACTAAGGGACGTCTGTCTAAGGAAACTCTCGAGATTACATCCGAGCTTGCAATGCTATGCAGAGAGGCGACAAAGGAAGATCCCAAGGAGCAAAGAGCAGCAGTAGTAGCTGAAGCAGAAGAGGCTAAGAGGAGCATCCGCAACTCCCGTCGAAACTTTGCGAGCTACAAGAACAAGATGACCTGTCTCCGACGTCCTAATGGAACAATCACTGTATCCCAGAGGGCAATCGAGAAAGTCATCCACAACTTTTTTTGGATCTCTTTCGTAGCCATGTCCATCTGCCTACTTATGATTTGCTACAGGATTGATACGTCGTTTACTCAGTTTTCTCTTCCGAAGACCGACATGTCATCAAGTCGGTGAAGAATCGTACAGCACCCGGCCTGGACAGGCTTAAACCGGAACATCTGAAGAATGCACATGCCAGTCATCATTAAAACTGTGGACCGACTCTTCACGAGCTATCTCTTGGAATGCAAGGTACCCACTCCGTGAAAAACCAGTAGGATCGTGTTGCTGAACAAGAAGGGAGATTTGGACGGTATTGGGAACTATCGCCCAATCTGCCTGCTGTCTGTAATCTACAAGCTATTCACTCGGGTCATCTTTAACAGGATTGGCAGAATACCGGATGAAGGACAGCCATGCGAGTGAGCAGGGTTTCGAAGGGGGTTCAGTACGATCGACCACATCCACACGGATACGGATACTCATTGAAGTACCGCGACAGTACAAGATGCCGCTTTGTCTTACTCAACTTGAAGAAGGAGGTCATCATCTACGTCATGAGAGGAATTCAACAGGACGAAACCATCTCGCCCAAACTCATAAGCGCCGCTCTCGAAAATTTAGCGCCTCTCGAAACCGAATGCATCATCAATGGGAAGGTAAGGGAGCTAACCAGGAAGGTCTTTCAGGGCGTGACGAGCTTTTTGAAAACGGTCTTTTGCATAATATAGGGGCAGATGCGGGGACCACAGAACCGTGTTTAATTTTTCCTGAACGGCCCACTGAATACCAGAAAAGGAGGTCCCTAGTTCGATTCCTCGTGGTAACAAATTTTTGCATTTCGAGTTGACGTTCCGAAATTCGCGCAAAATGGGGTTAGAACCAACAACAATCAGAACTCCATTTTGCGCGAATTTCGGAACGTCAACTCGAAATGCGAAAATTTGTCATCAAGAGGATTGGGGAGGGGCTATATACACGCGGTGAAACGACAAATTTTTTCCCTGCGCCCCTCAACTCACCCAGCCTACCTACCCATAAAAACTCCATTTTCACCTTCAAACTCACATGTGATTTCAAACGACTGAAACGGGTACGACCCCCCTCCTACAAACTCAACCAAGCACAACCCCCCGTTGTTACTAGTAACAACGTAGGGTTGACCTTGCCCACAACCCACACCTTCGCCCGCAAGCCCCACCCCCTGCTGTTGGTTGCCACATGCTTGAAAGAGCGTTTGAGGCAGTAGTCCCGTTGCCACCCAATGCGCTGGAGCAACTAAAGTTAGGTGCGTGAACCTTGTACAACGCGTCCATTATCTAGGAATCATGGTGAAATGCGGCTGAAATAGGGGAGGTCTCCATGCGGGAGTAGTCGGTAGTTTCGTTCGTTTCTTTTTCGTTTCCGAGCCACCTCCCACCTCTAACTTTATAAGTGAGCACTTTTACACCTATTTTATCCCGAATCTTAAGAGTCTTTAATCATAAATCTGTTCAACTACTTTGGCAGAGGGCAAGAGGATTCAAGCTCAGCCTCCCAAGGCGCCCATATGGATGTATTCGTCATTTCAACTGCCTGGATTGATTTCTTAGTGAGCTTTCTTGCGATAGCCTGGAGCCTCACTTCTACGCTATTCTTTTAATTCTTTTGCTTTTTTTTACTATCAGTCTGGAAGCTTCAGCAGAATAACAAGTTCCGAATGCTTTGTCAAAACTTGTCGGCATGAACTGTACTTGAAGACGTAACGAATGCCGAAAGATCTTACATTTGCAAGAATGAAATCCTCTTCTCCTTGTTGTTGATTATTCACGAAAGTCTTCAATTCGGTGAGTATCTGAATGTATAGTTTTTCTAATTTCGTTTGCACTTCCTTTTTTTCCGGAAACTGAGCAGCAGCTTTTTTGTGCAAGAAGACCATTCTTCCCCCCCCCCCATCCAATCCCCCTTTATGGTAGAAGAAAGTCTTGTGGATAAATCATCGAATTGAATCAAATGGGGGGGGATCAGATATCCTGAAACAGCAATTCTGATAATCCCATTGTTTTTTGGAATTGTATACCGCCTGTATTTCCTCAACGAAGTGAATTCGTTTTGTCAGCTTTATATAAATTTCTGCGATGATCTGCACAGTCACATTGATATAGGCAAATGAAAACCCATAAAAGAACATTGCCCAGGCAGAGGGGAGCGGAAGAGCAAATGAACAAAAAGAAGATTGAAAAAAACTGTATTCAAGATATTTACACAACATCTTCAATACAATTTTTTCGTCAGGAACTTAAGCTATTCAAAAATTAGACTACATCACGTGTGTGAAACAGCCGACTACGACTTACTATTTTCATAGAATTTTGTATCTCAAAGCCGCCGCTCCAGATTTTCGATCATGAGACAGCTGTCGCTGGAGACCCCATACACTGGTGTAGGTAGCAGGGTTGTTCAACTAGTAACCCTGTTTCCAAATGATAGTCATTGTAAATCAAAATTACACTTTTGAAGTTTGGCAGTCGAGATAGATAGTTTCCATTTACGTCATCCAGGCTTGGAGAACCGTGAAGCTGGCAAGGAGTCCAACGCCGTAAATCGCCTCACCTTGAAGTCAGTTGTTCAGCAGGGCCTTTATGTATCAAAGCAGATGGTTGCCGTTAAATTTTTTCCATGGTTCTTGACAAACTTTGTAGAGTCAAAGTAATCCCAATGAGGGCATCCTTCGCTGAGATACGGGAGATTTACGGAACGGTCAGCCTTGTAACAGGATCCTGTTGCATAGTTCTTTTATCAGCACTGAAAGACTAGGGAAGTCTCCCGGATGCTAGACAATTTTCCTCGGAACCGTCTAGAAAGGTTCCAGAATACAGTGCTGCCCATGACCTTGACCACATCGCACATGATTCCCTCCAATCAGGCGAAAGAAGCACGAAGGTCCCATATTCTCGCCGTGGTACAGGGTGGCCAGAAATGACGTGACGAAATTCTGTACGACCAAAAAAAGACAAGCGGATAACAGCAACATGTTCACTGAAGGGCAGTAGACGAAAAACACATGTTCTCTCGATTAATAGTATCGGCTTTGAAAAAGGAACAAAGTTTCCCAGGGAATGAGCTGACCGCAGCGTGTCGATAGACGGCCTCATGTGGTTTCAGGTATTATGAAGCGATTTCTTAAATCCATCAAAGTTTTCGTAATGTCAGCAGCAGGTGCTCTTCTGCCTTATTCTTCGTACAGCGTAAGCTGGTAGATTCGAGTTGGGAACTCTAGGTGACCGCTTTCCAAGCGCAATAAACTCTGAGCAGTCCAGCTGGCAATAGCTCGTCATGTCTTAGCCACGTGATGCTTTCTGACGATTACTTGCAAAGAATGGCATCTGTTTTTGAACACGGGAAAGAAACGACGGGTTGAATGTGCTAGAGTCCATCACTGCTCAGCGCCTACTTACTCAATACTGTTCTTGCTAGAGGAAGCTTCTTTTTCAGGTCGAATCTAATCGATTCTAGCATCCAGTTAATTAATTTTTGCAATGGTGGTTGTTGCAGGTTTCCTGAAAATCCTTAGTCGCTTTGCAACGTAATACCATACGAGGCAAGCGAATCGTTATTTCATGAAGAGCTGAAGGCTTGCACAATCCAAACTAGAACAATTTCGAGTGGTAAAATTAATGATTGAAGATCGTACTAATAGAACCAAATGTTCAAAACCACACTCAAAACTCCATCGGTTTAATTTTAGAATTGTATGGGGTGTGCTCTTCTTACCGTAACTTCTGACCACCCTGTAGTTGTTGGATAATGGAGAAAGCCGTTATTCGTATACAATCGCCACAGAAAGAGCGCCGGCTACGCTGTCTACCTAGCTGCCAGGTAAGTCATGGATGGGTGTGCTGCGCAATCCCTTGCACCCGAGGTCTTATTGCTTGAATAGGTACTGCGTTGTCCACGAGGCTGGCAGCCGGTGGCTGGGGTACTCAATGGGCAACGCGTGGAGGCCAATCCAAGGCGAGGGCGGACGTCCTCTACAAGCCCACTTCGCCGTAAAGCTGGACGTGGTTCCACCCCTGCTTCCCGCCTGGAGTCGCCCTGTCATCCTGCCCCTAGGGAACCCGCCAACCGTAAGATGACCGGATAAAAGTGCTGGGCGAGGATTAGAGTCTAGTGCGCTCAGTCAGCTGGCCTGGTCCACCCTTGAGCGAGGTGGCCGAGGGAGACCGGATGCAATGGTGCATTGATGTGTGTTATGAATGTACTATACTGTACAACATGCTAAATTGTGCTCATGCGAGTTCCTGATTCTAGATTTGCATTGTATTTGTTGGCTGCCCATGGTTGGGAAGGTCTGACCCCAGGTTCTTACCCGTGAGCTGTGGGTGCGGGAGGCCACTGGGACCTACCCGTTAGGAACTCCATCATGATGTTGGGCCCGATGGAAAGGCCTTGGACTGAAGGGTACGGAGCACCAGGGGTTGCTAGGCGAAACCCACCGATAGGGAACGTAATAGGTTCAACCACCGTTTGCAAGACCAGTCATGCTGCCAAGTGTTTTTTTTTTCGTGAACATGTGCACAGATGATTTCGTGGACATGTGCACAGATGCATGATTGTCAACCTGGAATCACGAAAGGGGAGATCATGGTATTACGCAGATGTATTAAGTTGTCCGATGAGTAATGTCGTTTTTTGCAAATAAATATCTTGTTTAAAATCTAACTATTTACATGATCCTATATAACATTCGGAGATGAGTTGTCTGCTATACGAAACGCATTGTTTCCCTTCTGCACTTATTGCGAACTGACTGAATCACAGGATTGCAAAGTGTGAAGCCAGTAGAAGATATGTAGCCAAATCGGCAAGTAACTAAAATCGACCTTACTGTAGAAAATCAATCAGCAATGTACTATGTTATAATAGGTTGTCCCATAAGTCGTGACACTTTTTGTGCCTCATGGCAGAACTTCACTTAGCGATTTTTGAATTGACCAAGTAGGCTGCAAAGAGCCCACTTCATGTAGTGACCTGCCTGACCATGCCCGCCTTAGCTGCTTTCTACAGATTCAAATTTGGATGAGAAGAATGCCATGTTTTCCAAAGTCTGATGTATGAACCTCTACTGGGCCGCAAATCGCTCGAGTTTAGCAGAATGTGACAAGATCGGTTCAGTACAGGGCAAGAATCGTTTTTTTTTGCTATCTCCCTCTTACGACGCCCCCTTATTATGCAGTAGAACTTCGAATAAGCTTGTTGCAGAGGCAAAACATAGTAGACCGTCTGTTGCAAAGCACATACAGCAAACGCCTGTAGTAATGGTGCCTTTCGATGACATAAAGTATCCGAAAAGTTCAAAAAATGAGAATAGAGACTAACCACATATGCCTACAAAGGGAGCTATAGAAAACACGGCCAACAAAATTCCAAAGCAGAGATAAAAATGAATATCTTGAGGTAAGGAGCAGATTGCAACACATTCGGGAATAAGATATCTAACACTCTGGTTTTCTTTCCAAAGATTGTCTTTCTGCAAGCTCAGCCTGCATCCACTCGGTCACTTTTCGGACGTTCATCTCGCTACTCCCCAGCTGTTCTTTCTTCTATTTAATCGATGTGCGGTGCTGTATCTTAAGCATCGTCAGAGAAGCGAATTCGATGTAATTCAGCCATCGACTTTTATCACCAGGTTTCCTATTCTAAATTGCGAATCAAGTTGTGAGCTGCGCTGCCACCCAGGAAGGACAGTAATGCCATGTCCCGCTTTCTGCTTAGGATGGCGGTGGGCCCATTGCTGATTAATTAAACCAGTTTAGCTCCGCACACTACCACGTGCATGGCACGGAAGGGCTCCGGAAAGCTGACCAGCCGGAGGAGCGTTAGGTTCTGCCGCTAAACAATAATTTTCTTCGTGATATGCGTTAGCTGGCCTTCTACAGAATGCCCATTTTCAACCAACCGTCTGATACGCGCGGTGGAGTGCGGAGCTACAGTGGTGTCTGTAAACAGCCACCATGCATTGAATGTCAGGATTTAGCGGTCGAATAATATTGATGCCAATGATTTTGCAATAGAAATACCCAATATCGTAAATCGCTAAACATCCATCATACATTCTTAGGGATTTTGGGAATATAGCGGTTGAACGATATTTTATTTTGATGACAACAACGCAGTGAGATGATTCTGAAGTCAAATGCGTTATCTAGAACCACGGTTTTGAGCGATTCATATGTTCCCACGTGATTCTCGGCCCTTATCACCTCCTGCACCTCACCATACATGTTCCCGTTGCACTCTGTACATCACTTCTTAGAACCAACGCCCGACTGCTGCTGGGACGCGCGCTATGAATTTCATAAAATTTGCATTTCAGCGCTTCTTATCAACTCTTATTAGCCCTTATCACTTCCTGTAGCCCATCGAACAAGCTCCCTTCCCACGCTATACATTACTTCTTGGAGCCAACGCCCACTGCTGCTGGGATGCGCACTGTGAATTTCGTAAAAAATTGCGTTTCAGCGCCTCTTATCAGATTTTATCGTTAGTTATCACTCCCTAAACCCCACCAAATATGTTCCCGTCCCACGCTATACATCACTTCTTGGAACCAACGCCCCACCACTGCTGGGACACGCGCAATGAATATCATGAAATTGGCGTTTTGGCGCCTCTTATCAGATAGTCGATATCACTCCATAAACCCCACCAAATATGTTGCTGCCCCACCCCCTACACCATACTCAAAATACAGCGTTCCATGCCTGCAGCGAAGCGCGCTATGAATTTCGTGACAGACGGACTACCACACACCTACACAGGCAGACATACTTAGCGAATTATATATAGTAGGATTCTGATCGAGAAGCTGTTGTAGAGTTCGCAAAGATAGCTTATACATTAAGTAGGATTACTAGTCCTGTGGCAAGTTGTATGACCTATACAATAAAATTCTCGATCGTGATACAAGAATCGCCTCTGAGTCAGCTAAACATGTGCTGTTATTACTGCTGAAGCACTCAGTTGCATACAAATGTATAGGTAAGTTCAAATTTGAAAAGGTACCAAGATAAAAACTGGTCGATTCTAAATCGAATTTGAGATAGAAACGCATTCCGAACATGGAGACGGGACACGTTCGAATATGCTCCCATCGGACTAAAAGGCAAATTAGTAAGTAGCTCGAACACTCACTGTGTTGACCTGAGCAAGATAATCAGCTATTATTGTTTTCACTCGACCGCCAGAATCCTTAACAATTTGAGTAAGTCTAAAAGTTCAGAGTCTGTATGGGTTTCATACAGGAAATATTGGAGACTTCCCTTGAAAAGAACAACTGTTGTAGCAGCAGCAGCACATACGTAACATACAAGAATTCGACTCGTTCAGGAGATCAACAATCAGAAAACTCACAAAACTGCGATTCATGCTTTGAATACTTTTGAACAGGCGAAATGGTCGAGCAACTATGAACGACAGCAGGCCTTGGACATTTTTGAAAATCTGCAGCGTTCCATTGACTTTTCAGGTGCGATTTCCCTCCTAACTCAAGCAACACGATTGTGTCACAACCGTTACACTTTTGCAATTTTAAACACCATTCCTGAACTGTACGATCTGCTGTTTTTCTTCTTGCTTATTTGGGATGAATAATGCTCCGCACAGAGGCGAAGTTTTTCCTGATAAAAATTGGCTTTCTCCCTTCAAATATGCAGTGGAACGCAAGCGCGGAGCATGTTCAGAAGTGACGGGGTGGTTTGACAAGGCTAAGGCGCTGCCAGTCAAGGGCGAAGTGTTGGGGCCGCCCCAACCCCAATGAGTCCGCCCACCTTTCCACGTGACCTTCCGAACAATCACCTGGAACAATACATGTTGAGTTGTTGTTTGGAAGGTCGTAAGGAAATATTTAGCGGTTTGCAACTGTGAAAAATCAATGTCAAATCTTATGTTATCGAAAACGCAGATATTTATTCTAGTGGCAATAAATCTCAAAGATGGGAAGCAAGCAAAAAAGCACCGGATAAGTAGAAAAAAAGGAATACTGGAAAGGATCAGTTTTCATTCCTGGCTTTTTGTGGTTGATGGCATAAAGCCATTGGATGCTGTAGACACGTCCGGACACGTAAATATCCCGCCCCTAGCTTGTAAACGACTAATGGAGTAAATGTTTCAATTTGGAACATCTTTGAAGGTAGTCCGTGCTTTTTTCCTTATCTTCGATTCACTTAGCACCCAGTGCTTCACATATGAATTGATAAGTCCCTCGTTTTATCCCGGAATTTGCCTCCAAGACAAGTCCTGAAATGAATCTGGTGTATATGGGTGCACCATAGTGATGACCGAGATGCGCAATGAAATAAATGTTGAAGGGAGAACAAAAGAAATAATCGCAAACGCTAAATTCAGGGCCTTACCCTACTATAACGTCGAATGTGTACGATGGTGGGACAGGGCGATCGAAGAAGATAAATCATGCGAGAAAACGTGCTGATCCCTATATCAATAGCGATGGGTGCGAAACGTTGCAGAGAGGGTCGATGGTTGCAAGTTCGCAATGGATTAGCGTCCTAATTGCGCGATTTGGGCAACGAAGTTGGCTTGATCTATAAAAACACGCACTCCACAATTTCCCTCGTACCCTTCCCACTAGTCGGGCTAATTCCAGGAGTTGCCTTTGACAGAATCTCTAAAAGCGTACATTGGCAACCTAAGCCGAAGCCAACCTCCAAGGGATTCCTTTGTATTTTTAATAGTGCTTCCCGCTCACCGCAATTTTTGTCTAACTCACGGGAAATTAAAACATGAAATTGATTCTGAACCGTGGCTCAAAGGACGAATTCACGATGAAAAGCAACCCATTTCAAATTAACCTAGGGATGGTGAGTGGTACACGAAAGAAGGAAGAACCATGAGAAACGGCCCAAAACCCGAGAAATGATACCCCTTCCATGCCTGTTGATTCGAGCATTGATGCGACTCTCATCGCTGTGCCCTCTTCAGCACTACGCTCTCTCAGCTATCTAATCACTAGCCACGTATTGAACTACGGCGAGTGATCAAATGATCGGTGGGCGGAGATCGCCAGATCCGCCAGCTTTGAGGCATGATAGGTCGCAGAGGTCAAATTTTTCCATGCGAATTGCGCGCCACTTCGCATCCTCAGGAGGTCCGTGGGTTCCTCAACTAGGTCAACTTTTCTTTTCCCTTTCTTCGACATTCATTCTAATCGTGAATTCCTCCTTTAAATGAATATTGCAATAGTGGTTCGAATGCTTCCGGAGCACTCAGGCTCACATCATCATGTATAGTAACTGGACAGATTAGCAGTGCAAACTACCGCTTTTTCGTGAGGAGGCGAAAAATCGACAAGTCCGAAATTATTTTATTATACATGGCTAAGTGGTGTAGGGGTGGATTCACTCCTTGGTATCTTATTCCTAGTCTATAGAACACTTCTTCGGCCTTTATATTGCAAGGATGAGGCGTAGAAGGCTCATTTAAGTTGTAGTTTCATAACGGTAAGCCTTCTACATTGCATCCTGCCCCATCCTATCCATTTTTAAGTTCATCGGTCCTCAAATTCCCGCCATCCTTAGGCTCAGGAAAAAATGTCCATTTTGCTGGTCCAGGATCGTTTCCTTAGACCATGTAGGCGGAGAGTAGAAACATCTCAGGATTTCTTATACCGATACTTATGGGAATTTTCTAAAATTAGTCGATTTCTTATCATGAACGCTTTGACTCGTACCACTGGTACTAGAGAGCACAATGAAATGAAGACGCCGATGACAAAGAAGTGAAGCTCCCCCCCCCCTTCAAGCTACATATACAGGAGGGGGGGGGGGCAAAAAAGTCACTTTGCCCATGGCGCATATCGTCAAACGTTTCGTCGCAGAAGATGCCGCTGCTATAGAGAGTTATACGGCAAAACATTCTTTAGGTGTCCCCTAACAAGCAGAATCAGGCCCACCTTCGCTGCCTTCACCGTCTCCAGAATATGACGTCACCTTTCATCACCGTCAAGGTCAAGGAGGCCTACCATTATCGCTCTGAAGCTGCTACATAATTTTGAATCGTATAACTGGTGAATGGCTTTTTAGGGACAGTGTCTCTGACTGTGAAAAATGGCTTTTGACCAATGTTCGAGGGACGCCGTAATCGTTTATGGTTTCTGGAAGATCTCGTTGAGCTCGTACCGCGAACCATGTTTCCGTGGGGAAATCTTCGTATGTCGTCGGTGTAAAAAGACCCTATGTAATTTTTGATAGAATAGATTGTGCTCTTTAAAATGCTAATAAGCTCATTCGGTTTGGTTCTGGCAAAGTGTGATTAATTCTGTTTTGAATGTGAGTGAGAGTGACTCTTTTTTTTTCGCCCCCCTGGAGTTATTTACATATAGCCAAAATCCCATGGGTTCAAATTTAGGATTGCATAAGGCAGGCCCTTGCTGCCGTAATTTGTGGCCACCCCGTACAGTTTTCGGCAGATAAACAATGTTCTGCCTTTGATATTGAGATCCTGGAGAGAATGCACTTACTCATCTGGATACTCAAGACATGCCATCTTGGTAATGCAGCCGTCGAAGCCTCATAGGACATGACGTTTGCTTGTGTCAGCCTCTGCTTTCTCACCGGGCATAACTGGCTCTGATTCCTGACTTTTAGGCTTCGCACATAACCTTGCGAACGTTCGTTGTATACACACAACGCTCTTGAAGAGTATCCCTGATGATGTATTGCGACATGTAGCAGATAGTTTACTTCAATGGCCTTCGCCTCAGAAACACGGTTGTTTTACCGGAGACTGCACACCCGTAGTGTCCACCTGGTTGACTGCTATATGCTTTATTTGACTTCATGGTTTACTCTTGTTCAAATATTCTTTTTCGCTGCACCATGTTATTTTACGAATACTTCCGATAACAAAATTCTGCATCATTATAAACCGTCGTTAATCCCCAGCGGGCTTTGCGACTTTCATCACTCTGCTCTCGCAATACTCGTTTCGGCTAAGCTCACTCAATTTAGGCTGTTAACACATTTTTAAGTGATAGTGTATGAGCATTGTCGTTCATTGTGTAGTGGGAGGTATTACTACGATCACAAGATCATCACCTGTATCAACTGTCATCCCGCCGATCATCTTTTGCTCGAGCCGGCGCCAGCAACGTCTTCGTTCGTCCCTGTCGCGTGCTAGAGTGGTCCAGTGAATCCTTCCCGCTCGAGGGACACGAAGTCATTCATTCCTTTCATTCAGAGCTTTCGTGAAGAAGTTTGACCATCGGGCCGTCGGTCGTCCAAGTGTCCGTTAGGCGTCCATTCGGTAACCGCTCTGGTTCAACGGTCATCAAAATCGCATGACGTGTCCGGCCCACCTTATCCTCAATTCCTTGGCGAAAACGGCAGTGTCCCTGATCTTTGACCGTTGACGTAATTCGGAACTCCGGATTCCCCTCTGCTTTTGCGGGTATAGGGTTACTCCTAGCATCGTCCTCTCGACAGCGCGTTGGATAACTCTGACCGCATTCTCGTCCTGCCTGCGCAGAGTCCAAGTCTCCGATGCGTCGGTTCAGGCAGGAAGGATTCAGGGCAGAATCCGAGTGGTGGGCACGGAACCGGATGTTCTTCGTCTTCTTCGCTACTCCCCCGATGATCTTATACGCTCCCCAGGCCGCTCGTTTCCTCCTGCTCAGCTCTGGAGCTAGATCGTACATCATATTGATTTCCCGACCTAGGTACACGTAGCTGGAGCATTCGGAGATGTTCGCTCTGTTGAGCGTGAACGGGGCATCAGAAACCAATCCGTTTCTTATAAACATCGTCTTCGTTATGTTCAGCTGCAGGCCGACCTTACCACAGGCGCAGTGTAGATTAGCAAGCAATCGCTCTGCTTGCTCGATGTTCGGCGTTATGGGGTCGGTATCTTCAGCTAACCAAAGGTGGTGTAGTCGGCCGTAGGCCTTCGCTCCCTTACCTTCCCATTGCAGATGATTCTTCGCTTTAGGTTTTCGAGAGCGGCGCTGAGGAGTTTGAGTGAGATGGTGTCGCACTGTCGAATCCTTCTCTTGACGTCGATGATGACCTCCTAGTAAAATGGCGAGATCCTGGTTGTAAAGCTGCTGTAGAGCTCACGAAGAATCTTGATGTAGTGAGTAGGATTGCCCTGGTTGCCCAAGGCTTCGATGACCGCTTCTGTTTCCACAGAGCCTTCTTCATGTCGATGAACGTGAGACAAGGCAGCATCTTGTACTC